CAGCTTCTGTCTTCGACATCGCTGAAGGATCTTTGGTATGAGTTTTGTCTTCTTGAAGTATATTGGTTTCTGTATGAATTACAATACATGTTCTGCGATCACTGAATAGACTCAGTGAAAATCGCTGAAACTGAATACATAAATAGTACACTTCGATAGATAAAAAGGATCATCATCAAATCACTGAGAGAGAGGTCAACAATAGTACACTTCGCAAGGTAAAAAGAATCATCATCAAATCACTGAGATAGAGGATCAACAATCTCCCCATATTTGATGATGACGATGCAACATAGAAATAAATTGCTTAAGTTACATCTGTAAGGAAAAGGTAATAGTAAAATAATTGTCCCTTTTAACTGTTTTAGGATCTTTTGTAGTGATACAATTTACTATAAAATTTACTTTAATTGTAAAGGATTACAAGGAAAGAATAAAATTGCACAATTAATAACTAAAAACTGAAAGCATATTCACTGACTAGAAAGGTGTCATCGAATGTAAGACATAAACATAACTCCTAATCACATGTCCCATATGCTCTTTTCAAGGATCTTTTTCAGTGAGCTGATCATTTTATTGAAATATCTTTCAAGGGAAAATATTACAAGTTATTACAATCAGTTTTGGTATACCTAAAACATAAAGGTTATACACTGAAGAAAAAGATAAGAAATATAAGATATTACAAGACAAAAAGGACATCTAATCTAGATTACTGAAGTTGATGTAGCCAGGGACATCTTCTCCGAGCATCTTGCGTCTAAGCATTTCCTTTCAAATCTTGTGCTCCATCATCTTTCCAGATAGATCATTATTTAGCCAAGTCCTTAGATATTCTAAGTGATCTATAGGGTAGAGATGGAACTCAGATACTCGCTGAAACCTGTATTGACCATCATAGTCAATGAACATAAGTCCATATTTAGGTTTCACATGCACTGTGTTGGGTATATGAGGAACCTTCACAGGCAGTGACAAGTTCAACATTGAGATATCCGGCTTCTTTTGATCCTTGAGAATTTTGTCTTGTGCTCGTTCTTGTGGGAAGGTCCTTCTTCAAGTTTAGAAAGTCTTTTTCTTCAAGAGGGCTTCTTTGGCAGAGGAGGAACCTCGATGATCTTCGACATCTTGTTGAATAATTCATTCATAATATCTTCAATCAGAGTCTTATGATTGGATTTGGATTTCTGGATAGCCTATCGAATTTCTAGCCACTCGTAGAAGCCATACTGACCGAGGTAGGAGGGGTATTTAGTGACAACTTCTTTACTCTCTCCAAAAATGATCATTGAAATGAGAAGAGCATCATATTTCACACGACCACTAATAGTGAGTTTTGTGATATTCTGTGGGCTAAATCTCTTTTTGAATGTTTCTCTTCACCAGGAGAGGTCAAACTCATTCAATTTCAACACTAGTTGACATTCACGTTCAGCTTCTCTAATCAGTTGGGCTTGAGCGCTGACAAGATATTTCTTTCTGAATTTCCCTTCTGCTAGTGCCTGCTTAGCTAGAGCCTTGGCTAACTCTAAGGGGCTGTTTGGTTCATAAGAATTGGATGGAATTCAAAGGAATTGGAATATCCATTCCTTTAACCAAATTCCAAATAGGGTGTTTGGTTCAATTGAATCACAGTGTGGAATCCTTTCAATTCCGGTCATTTCCTTCACGCACCGATTTCACAATTCCACAGCAATATGCTAGGATTTCAATTCCTTTCATACAGATTCTTCCTCTAATCCAAATTCATTGAATGCACCATCTCATCTACTGGATTTCTTGTTCGATCTCCAGGTACGCTCTCTCTCTCTCTCTCTCTTGTAGACAAAATTCGATTGTCAATCTGGTTCGATCTTCAATCGATCTCTGATTCGATCTTCAATCGATCTCTGGTTCATCCCAAATTGAATGGAATTAGGGCACCGATCACTTCTGTAAACAAAATTTCGTTGTAATGGATTGTTGTATTTGTAGTTATCACTAATCTGTATGATCATTTGTAGCAGCGTAGGATAGATGGTGGCTGTACAARATGATCAACAGACTTGTATTTTRGCCATGGATTCTGCAGTTGTCTATAGCATTTTAGTACATTAATGGTAATTCCATTTTGTATTTTGGTTTTTAATCCAGTTGACACTTAATCAGTATTCAAAATGGATCAAATCCCTTGTATGTACGTGGGTTTTGGTTAGAGAAATTGGTAAAAGAAACTGTTGAAAAAAACCCAGGTTCCAATATATATATATTAGACAGAAACTGTTTTCATAGCTGATCGAGCCAAAGGATTTGGTTTACAAATGCCCTTAAAACTGCTTTCTTCTACTTAGGCATGGAGAAGCATACTAACCACTTGACTCATTGAGGGTCTTGCCTCTCTATCTTTCTCGGCACATTGCAGTGCAGTTGTAACTAGATTTTCCTCAGCTTGAAATTCAGCTTCCCCATGGTGATTAGTGTTCTTGAGCCTTTTGATTGCTGCAYAATTAATCAACAGCTTCAACAATATAAATACATAYAAATTGMAAAAGAAACTGAATGGCACTAAACAGGAAAATTCAATTACCTACGCATGCATAGAAAAGTATATGGTTGTAGCAAATGATAAAGTATATGAGGAGATGTAAAGGAGGTGAGATACCCAAGGAGGAATACTTGGGTATATGCAAAAACCAGGGGGCAAAACCATGGCTATGAAAAACCAGGGAGCAAAACCATGGGGAATAGTTRGGTATTTTGATTTAAAAAAATGGTATGTCTTTTGGAAGATTTRGTGTAGCATAGGATGTACTTTATAGCTAATGGACCCCAAACCCCACTATCTCTTTTCCCTATAACACTACTACACATTAGACATTCATCAATTACTCTATAAAATAATAKAGCCATCCTCCTAATGACAAAACGCCATTCCCCTATCAATCCCATATAGCCTCTATGCTTCTATCCATCCTTTATATATAAATATATAAACTTCCCTTTCAAAATTCCAATTTCTGTCTCATGCCAGAGACAACTTTTCARCTTTTTCTACACAGAACCCRTAAACCTCTAAAAAACACTTGTGCTWTCTTRTTTTTTCAACTTTGGTATGCACTTTACCCCCAAATATTGCTTTCCCAAAGTACTTATCATAACTGGGTTTTCTCAAAGATTTGGTTGATCTTCTCATACAAAAAAAAAATGCTTAATGAACAAAAAGGAAGTATTGAAGTGGTATGTCTTTTGGAAGCAGTGTTCATTTATTGTCATTGTCCTATACAGAATTGAGTTGCTATTAGTTGCATATATTGTGGTGCCTAGTTACGAAGAGTCATGATACTTGAAATATATCTTGGGCGAACTGAGACCTTCATTTCAATTGCTAGCCATTGGATTTTCTAGACCATTTTATAATTAGATTACAACCAATGCTAGCCATTGGTACCTTAAATCCTCATGATTGCCACTATTCCAACATGCATCAMATGTTTCTAAATTAGATGCAGATCACCAAGCACATATTTATGAATATTCCTTCTATGTTTTACCACTCGAGTTGCATTACATATAAATATTTCCAAGCTTTCATGTAATTTTTTTCTTTTCAGTCTAACATATATRGATTAATCTGTCTATAATTTCTTTTTGAAGGCTGTTTGGATTAACACCCCTCCCCCTTGTGCTTGCATGCATGCATTCATATATATGCCCTTACTGCTGCTACTAATACTACTACTATACATACGATTTATCTTATTTGGGTTAACTATAATTAAATATTACRATAAATAGATAATAGGATGCACTTTAAAGGGATGTCACCATCCTCACCTAAAAAGTTCATGGCATTTGTAGTTATCTTGCAAACTATAACTGTTATATTTAATAAATTATAAAACCATTCGTAGGTCTTTGAACAGGAAATGGCCCGACTTAGTTTCACAACACGCAGACGTAGGCTTATGAGATTGTTTTTACATGAAGCTATGACCATTTTTGCTTGGTTTTTCATCACGATTTGCACTTTAATAGCTGACTACGAAAGAGATAAACCACGTATTCAATACTCTTTGTCATATATGGATCGAGCTTCATTATTGCATAGGTATGCTTATGAGAGTGACAGTATGTGCATATCACAACTTAGGATGAATAGAGGGTGTTTCAAAAAGTTATGTGATATGTTGGAAACGTTAGGAGGATTACGAGCGAGTAGGCATATGGGTATTGATGAACAAGTTGTTATTTTCCTTCATATTATGGCTCATAATGTTAAAATTCGAGTTATCACATGTCGTTTTCATCGTTCGGGAGAAACAATGAGTAGACTATTTACTCGAGTTTGCAAAGCGGTGATAAGATTGCATTCATGTTTGCTTAAAAAACCCGAACCCATTCAAGAGGATTCTACCGATGGAAGATGGAAGTGGTTCAAGGTATATGGAATATCTTCCTTTTTTTGTATTCACGTGGAAGTGTGTAATGACCATTTTTATTTCTTGGTTTTAGAATTCTCTAGGAGCTTTAGATGGAACATACATAAGGTGCTTAGTGCCACTCGAAGACAAGGCTCGATACAAAACGAGAAAGAATGAAATTGCTACAAATGTGTTAAGGGTCTGATCACAAGATATGCAATTTATTTATGTGTTACCAGGATGGGAGGGGTCAGCGGCCGATGGTAGAGTGCCTTGAGACACTCTTCTTAGGCCACATGGGTTAAAGGTACCTAGGCCATATTATTACCTGGTAGATGCCGGATACACAAATGGTTAGGATTTCCTCGGCCCATATAGAGGTCAAAGATATCACTTAAATGATTGGCGGGATGGACACCAACCAACCACACCAAAAGAACTTTTTAACATGAGACATTCCTCTGCAAGAAATGTCATAGAAAGATGTTTTGGCATTTTAAAGGCAAGATGGGGAATTTTAAAAGATAACTYGTACTATCACGCTGAACTGAAAAACAAGATCATAATGGCATGTTGTCTACTTCATAATCATATCAGGCGAGAGATGCCAAATGATCCGTTTGAGAACGTTGGGTTAGATGAAACAACCGAAGATGATGGAGAACAAGACGTGGATAATGTCACTTCTGTTGGGACATCAACTGAGTGGACTGCATTTAGGAATAATTTGGCACAACATATGTTTGAGGCTTGGAATGCTACGCATTGACCTTTTATGATTTGTAAYGCTAGAAGTTTATCTTTATGGTTTGTAATGAATTTGATACMTATGTTGCATARTATTAYGATTAATAATGCTACAACTTGATTTTATGAYTTGCATGTTTATTTTACATGTTATTTGTTTATTATTTAATTTGTTTAACAATAGGTATGTCGGATCGAAGTCGTAATAGAAACTATCGAAATTGGACAACTATTGAAGATGCCAAGCTTGTGGAGGCTTTGATTAACATGGTTAATACAGGGGGATTTAAAGCTGATAACGACTTTAAATGTGGATATTTACAGTATCTAGAAAATGTATTAAAAGAATCAATTCCTGATTCTGGTATATTGGGTAAAGCGCATATTGAGTCAAGAATTAAAACAATGAAAAAGGATTGGCAAGTGGTCCATGACATGGTGAATGGGACAAATACGAGTGGGTTTGGTTATGATTGTTTGAAACAATGTGTAATTGCCGAAGCACCAGTTTGGGAGTCTTACCTGAAGGTACCCATTATATATTTCATGCTATATTTGTAGTTATTATTTGATATTTTTGCTATTTAACTTTTATGACATGAAATAGGTACACAAGGAGGCGGCAAAATGGAAAAACAAGATATTTCCACATTTTGAAGACCTGTCTACTGTTTTTGGAAAAGATAGAGCTCAAGGAAGTAGAGTTAGGGATGTTGTTGAGATGGAGGTGCAAGTGAATCTAGAAGAACAAGAACAACAATCAGAGGGTATTGAAAGTAGCCATAATGTACATAATGCTACAGATATGCGAAGTGAAGAAGGTTCAAGTCGAGGTAGTAAGAAGAAGAAAACCCGAGTTGAGACTCTTGTTGACGGAATGCATAGTGCAGCTCTTTTACTTGGGGAAAAWTTTGAAAATGCATCGAAGAATATGGTAGATATGGAAATGGAGRTACGAAACAAGACTTCCATGGTGAATTCTGAACTTTCAAGAATGCAATCACTTTCTAGAGTGGAGAGGTTCATAGCAGTCAAGAAGATAACAAGCGAGCCTGATAACGTGTTAATTTTTTGGAGTTTGGAAGAAAGGGAGCGAGAGGAGTGGGTGAGGTTTGTGTTGGAAGGTTGATTTTGGTATGATTTGACAACTTGAATTTGGGTTTTGGAAATAATGTATGTAGTTAATAGTTTCAGATGTTATCGGATTTTAGTATTTTGTAGTGAACAATTTCAGATATTAGTAATGTAAGTAAACAATTTAAAATTTTATATGATGTTAATAATGTAATTTGGTTTAATGGTAATTTTAATTTTTTTTAAAAATGACAAAAAAATCATAAAAGGTCATTTTTGATATTTAATTCCGATTCCAAAGTTGAATTCCGTGAACCAAACAAAAAAATTCCAATTCCAGTAAGAATTCCATTCCAATTCCATGCAACCAAACACAATCACAATGCATGGTCAAATTCCATTGAATTCCATTCCATTCCCTCAAAGTCAAATTCAATTGATGAATTCCAATTCCATCGAATTCCATTCCACGAACCAAACAGCCCCTAAGTTGTCTTTGATTTGTTCCTAATAGTTCTTCAGCTCTTCTTCAGCTCGTAGGGATTCTTCTGTTCATCTTCTGAAAGGAAATCAAACTCACCACAACCAGAGGTACGAAGAGGAATTTTTACTCTGGTTTGGTCGGGCTGATTTATAAGCTACTGAATACCCAGGTTGTCTAGACAAATTCATGGGTATTATCTTGTTGGCTTCTTCATCATCTTCATCGTTCTCTAAGGTTTCAAAAGATGGGAGATTGATTGAGAGACCACGAGGGTTTGATGCAGAGAGTGATTGAGATAAAGGGGTAAAAGTTTCAGTTTATGAGGAAGGAGATACAAATCTGGAGGTGAATGCATCCTCGGATGGACTGATTGCCCATAGAACAATGGCAAGATTGTCTTGAGCCATTCCTTTTCCTTTGTCAGTGGAGTGTTGGTTCTTTGACGATTTCTCTCCTTGGGAAGTAGGTTCTCGGATGGAGATTCCTTTCAGTGCTGGTTGTCTTGGAATGGCTTGGATGGATAAATCATCATCGTCATCATCACGACCAAGATCAATGCCAACGTCTAGAAGTTGAGGTTCAAAATCCTCATCCTCATCATCTTCATCATCTTCAACACCAGCATTTGGCAATGAAGAAGTAGAAGGATGAAGGTTTTCATGGTCTGCAACAGCAGGAATAACCATGGCATCATCTTCATCATCGTTATTATGGCATTAAGAATAGGATCTCTGGCATCCTCAATAACAGGAGGGTTTAGGGCATCTTCAGTAGTCTCCTTATCTGGAGACTTTTCCCCCTCAACATCTTCAACTTTCTCTCCCTCTTTGTCATCATCAAGAGTATATCATGGGAGAAGGAGACGAGAGGTGAGGTCTTCGAGCTTTTGCTCTAAGAAGGAGAAAGATTCAGCTCAGAAAAGGTTGAAAGCAGTGACCCAGTCCAGCTATTAACAGTCAACATCTCTGAAGGAAGGTTCAGGGGCGGGCGTTGGTTTATGTAGGAGTTGGAATATTTGTTGAAGGAGCTCACCATGCCTGGTGAGTTGGTCCTGAACTTCATTAGCTTT